GCAACTCCGGGACGGGAGGCGCTGGGCGCTGCTGCCCCCGCGCGGCCGGCGGTGAGGGCAGCGCCGCGCCTCGGGGGCCGCGGGTTCGAGGCCGCAGTGGGCGAATTCCGCCTTGGGGTGCAGCGGGCGCCGGCCCCGGGGGCCGAGGAGGTCGAGGCCGCTCCCGAGCGTTTTCCGTCGTGACCACACAGGTGCTTTTTATTGCGTTTCTAAAATAAAAAGCAGCAAAAACAGGAAAAATCATCCCAAACATCCCATTCCAATAAAAACCAAAGCCCACGCCGCAGCCTGCCCAGTTGCAGCGTGCGTAAACCCTTCGGGGTAAAGGAGAGAAGGGCTGGGGCTGCCATCAGGCGTGGTTTATTCACCATATAAACACTGGCTCGTCGGGCTGGACAGGAGGGAGGGAGATCCTGCACTGAGAGACTCAAATCTGCCACGCAAACCTGTAACACGGCGAGAAATTCAACGTCCCCAGTCCTGTCCAGCACAAACCAGTAACAACCACGGAGAGCATCAGACATCCACAACCCTGGAGATCAATGCTCCGTCAAATCTAAGCACTGCTTATGGAGAGAAGAGGAAAAACCGGCAGGCGGGTCTGAATCACCAGGCAAGCCTTGCTTTACCCGTTGGCCACCGATCAAGCGAAGCAGCTTTGAGGATTGCCCCGAGCGGGTGCTTGGCGGGCCCACAGCGGCCCCCGCACCCCGCCTCCCCCCGAAGCGCCGGGAAAGGGCCCACGAACAAGGTGGAGCCCTGGCAGCGATTTCTACCTTTTTTTTTTTTCGCTGGATATTTTTCTTATCAGTCTCCGGGAGCCACAGCACTACGCCTGTTCGCTGCTGAGCCAACTCAAGGTAAGCGGAGCCTCTCGCACTCGGTCTGGCCACATCCACCCCAGGCAGCGCAGCAGCTGAAGGAAAAACAGCCCTGGGCAGTATTTATACCCAAACCTGGGGCCTGTAGGCCCCAAGCACACTCATCTGGTTAGTTTGGATCCTGCCAAGGTGGAAAAATGAGTAAGTGTTGCAGGCAGAAGGGGCGAGGGTTTAAGCTTTCCCACACGGAAGAGGACTCAAGCGTGCGCGCGTAGTTCAATACCGCGGTGCAGGACCAAGCCCTGCCCCTTCTCCCTGTTTCCTAGCCCAACCTCTGATGTGTCCTGTGATCAAAACACCTTCTTATTCAGTATTTAAATAGAAATTATACTTATTTCACCACACTGCCATTAACATCATCCATTAAATATTAATAAGCATGTGTAAATGTACCAAGGACAAACTGTTCAGGGGTTTGTTTCTTTTATAAACCCCTAAGACTCACATTTAAAAAAAAAAAAAAAAAGAAACAAAAACCAAAAAACAAAAGACAAACATGTGAAGTCAAATCCCATCAAAACAGAAAATTGACACAAATTTTAATATTTATATATTTTAAATCAAAACACAATTAAATATAGTATATTTTAAGTACATGAATACTTGGGCATGAGAGAAATAAGAGGTGGTACATAGTACCAAAAACCTATACACAGCCTTTTTTGCTTTTTTAAAGACAATACAGTGTGTCTCTATACAATCAAATATTGCAACAGAATAACACTTGCTAGTCAATCAAGATATTCTGAACACTGGAGATGATTTGAGTTCTTCACAAAGTGATTTTTTTGCACAAGTTTGAGGAAAAAAGCAATCATAAGAGTAAAACAAAAAACCCAAAATAGAAGTGTTTTATACTAAAAATGCAGCAATAACATAACGGTGAGACACCGAGTACTTTCGATACCCTGCAAAATCAATTCACTGGGAAAAAAAAAAAGAGAGGTGCTGTGCAACACGGTGGCCTTTTTACTTAAACTAAAGGTTTTGCAATTTGCAAGTGTTGACAATGTCAGGGAGAAGGCCAGAGGTCATTAAAAATTGTTTTTCTTTGTAAACTGAACATCTGGAATTAGATACTGTGGTGGCTGGAGGACAACAAGCTATGGAGAATGGCAGCAATTACTTTTTTCCTTGCTCGTGGGGCGGAGAGGAAAGAAAACGGAGCAGTCTACAGGGTACAATCTCCTCAAAACATGGGCTGCATTCGGAGCCGTGGCTCGGGAGCAGAGGGTTGCACAAGTGCAAGACTGGCTTTCAAGTCTGCTCTGGGTTGGAAGCGGGGGATTGTTTGTGTATGCAGGTGTCAGAGCTCGACAAGGAAGAGTTACACTGTCCAGGCTTCACTCCTGATCATTCTATGCTGCCTTCAAAGTTAACGTAGTTATGAAGTAAAATACATTTATCTTACAGTTGAATACGCATCTATTTCAAGTAAGGAAAAATGAAACTTAGAACTTTTTAGGTCATTCACTGCCAATGAATTCACCGTTTCAGGTTCACTTCTCCAATGGCCAATGTCGAGGATGCACCCATGGCCTTTCCAATTATGTGTTTAAAAATTACAAGTAGTAGAACTAGAAACTACAGCAAAACCTTCCCCTCTTTGTTGTGGCTTGTGTCCCATTCCAGGTAGTTTGCTTAAAAGTCTTTCTGAGACAGGGTCAAGTAGTTGTGAAGTTGATCATAGTTTCTCAGCGACACATTCATATACTGCGTCTTCATCTCTTTAAAAACCATCATTATTGTGAATGCCACATACAACAGGAAAAAGTGTTTCTTCACGCTCTACAGTGGAGGTACAGGATTGCTTCTTTTTAATTCTTCCTTATAAACGAGGGAGATTTTGGCGGTTGGAGTAACAGTGCTTTGTTTTTATTGGCTGTGTTAAAGAATCCACCAAAAGGGAAAGTTCACTCATTCCTGAAGCAAAAAACCAGATTTCCCATTCCGACGTTTCTAAAATCATAGCTGGAAAAGGAAGAACAGGGTTAGAGTTCATTTTACCCTAAAACATACAAGGCAATTGCTCAATGGAAAGACATTTTATGTTTAAAAATGTGGAAGCCAGGTATGCTTATGAGTTTGGGAGAAAAAAAAAAAAACAACCTAATCCGACAACACACTCAACCTTCCGATTACTGTAACCATATTTGCTTAATTGAGTCGAGAACATCTGCAGCCACTTGATATTTCTAAATACTGTGCTGAGAGACCTTTTCGTCTAGCCAGACTGGAATTATATCATTCGCAGTCATGCTATTAAGTGAAATCATTATACAAGTAATTTAACTGTAACTGCTCTATTAAAAAGAAAACAGTCACATAGTGAAACTATGGATCCATCCATTTGCGTCTAGTAACTGGGCTTTGGCAAATGTTTACCTCCAATAATTAAAAAAAGTGCAAGTTCATTTTAAAACAGCCAGAAGCCTGAAAGCCAGAAGTACCAGATATTAACTTGGTAAACTGCTGTCATCATTATTTCACAGAATCTAACTGTTGCATCAGAACTGGTTTTTTTGGTGGTGGTTTGTTTTGTTTTTAGCAGAGAACATGTGGACTTGTACAACAACAAAGTCGCTAAACAACAATACACAACACTAAACCACCAGCCTACGGACAGGGCTGCGTGTCTTTTTTGTGTAGACACGGCGCTGTGTAAATCAGCCACCCAACGACAACTTTCCAGCTGTTGAGTTTTACTGGCACTTGAGGCAAATATACCAGTATTCATTAACATGAAACAGCAAGTGTGAACTCAAATAAGGAATTACAGTATTGATCCTGCAACACAAATCACCCTTTTAACTAATTTGTAAAGACTCGAAATGAACAAAGAATTTGAACACTTGCACAGGGAACCACTACAGGTGTCTGTTAAGGAATTCCTACAACATCATACATAGTCGGAAACACTTCCAACCTTTGTTTCTTCACATCGTGCTATGCCAGTTTGAACATTTACCAGCGCGGGTTTCAGACGCACTAGGAAGGCAAGCAAGAGCTCTGCTCCTCCCATAGGCTGGCTTAAGCCCGATAAAGACAGGCATCCTTCCCACCCCCTTACCTTCGTAACCTTCTCCAAAGGCTGTTCACATTGCGCCTGCTGCATGACATCATTGACTATCATCTTTGCTATCCTCCAAGCCATCTCTTCTTGAGCCTGCCATAGAAAAAACATCCCAAAGCACAGATAGCTTCAAGTTCTTAAAATAAAAATACAGTCCTCTCAGCATAATTCACATGCTCAACCTTGGAGACGCAGTTAACCTTCACAACTCAATGACTTGTAGTAAACGTATCCTCCCTTGATGGAAATGCACCTGGTTTCCAAGTACAGCATTAACTTCAATTATCAGGAATATTTATGGCTTCATGCCATTTCCAAGAGAGTTAGTCAAGTTTTTAGACCTATCTGTTGGGGACTTGTCCAAGCCCCTCCGAGGGGGAAAAATGCAGCCTGTAATCTATGTACAGCTGTCACTTCACAGTAAAAAACAAAGAACAACAGTACCTCCACTCCTAATTGTAGATGTACCTTATTTACACCATAACAAGAAAAACCTTGACTGCAAGCACACAATTAACCATTATATTAGTTAAACCAGCAAGCAGTAGCAAAAATCAAACTAGTTTCACACACAATCAAATTATATGTGGCACACAGAGTCTGACGGTTCTTGTTGGTGCATCAGAAAGATACTCAGAGAAACAGCCAGGATTAAGAACTTCAATACTTCATTTCCCTGATCTACACCATAAAGTAAGTCACAAGAGCAACATAAAAGAGGACACACCTCATCTGTGTTTCCTTGAACCCATTTCTTCATTGCTTGTGAAAACATGGACCCTAGTTGAGATAAAAAATAGCAAGCAAGGTACATTAGCAAACTCTGTGGCACACCTCTCTCAAAGCTCAATTCCTTCCATCCTTCTGAAGGGTTTGCACTGCTGGCATTAGAGAACACAGACGAGTGGCATGAACGACAAGGGATTACGTGGAGCTGTGGTTCACTGGACACTGAGCCCGAACCATTCCTCTTTACCAGGGCTGAAAAACAGCAGATCCTAAACTGGGTGGGAAGCATGTGGAGAGCTGAAGTTCTTTTTCATCTCAAGACCAAATCTCTGAGGTTTGATGATCAGCTCAGCTGCTAGCGGCTTTCATCCCTGCCAGGTTCCATCGACAGCTCCAACTCCCACAGGCTGCTCATGCTCCCCTAAGCATCTCTATTCGGCTTAAAACAGATCTGGAAAGTGTCAAGAATCTTGCTTATCTTGACTGCAGTAAGGAAGAGAGCAGTTCTGCAGATGTTTACAGAAATGGAGAGAAAGAGGAAAGCAAACCTTTTGATTTTTTGACATCAGGCTCTGGTTCAGATTCTCTGATAAACTGTCCCAGGTCACTGACTCGCCCAAACGTCATCCTCCTGAAGAAAGAAGGAGTAAAAGAACCACACGGGTTACCAAGAGAACTTCAGCATTATAGAAAGCTACCAGTCAGGAAAACAAAAAAGCTACCACAATAAAGACTCTCGTGTTGGAAGACTGGCATTTTACCCACTACCACCTCTTCCACCTAAAATTGGTACATTGGGAAAAAATCTCCTGCTCTTCTCATGCATCTGAATTTGAAGTGTATCTTAAAAATCCTTCTAGAAACTAGAAGCAGGCAAATGCTTCAATGACTCAATCATGTAATAGCAACAGGCAGTGCTAGCAAGTGCTCTACGCTATCATAAAAACATGTCATTAGGTACTGTAAACTGTTTTCTCCCTAAAAGGACAGAAGACTGGTATGCAATAGAAAAGCAAGGTAGCTATAGAAACAAAGAATTTCTGTACGAGATCCACAGAGCAGAAGAGCTTTATAACAAAGAGCAACTTAAGAAACAGAAGAATAGCTGTGCAATCTGCTGAAGAAATGAAGTATAAGCCCGTCTCTCCCATGGGGGTAGGGAGAAACTGAAGTTGCACATTACAATATCAAAGGCACCTGAGCTTATTCTTTTCCGTTCCAATCCCAAATACCTGTCTTTTGGAGTCAAAGTGGAATAATAACTAGGAGAAAGACAAAAACCAATTGGAAATATTTTTCTGGCTGCCATTCTGGTCAGAGAAACATTCACAATGACATTGGTGTTAAATCACACTATTGAAATAAATTTACTTCCAAGCATTACGACATGTACTAAGATTGCAACATCTTGCATTTATGCATACTCTCCATGCAGGAGGACACAGCAAAAATGAAACAGAGGTGAAACACATAACTAGAAAGAATGAGATACACTGAATGAACCTTACCCTGCATATGCTCGTTGATACAAAGATTCTGGATCCAGACTTGCAGCATCTACAATTATTGCTTCATCAAAATTTTTCAGGATTTTAACATTAGCCTTTTTGACATTGGACTACAAATAAAAATTCTAAGTATTAGTGCCCAATGCAGACAACTAATAGCTTCTTAACAAAACTGTAATTTTGGTGCTTTTACACTTAGATAAACCTCCATAAAGTCTCTAAGCAAGCATAAAAGAATTAGAGAGCACCTACACAGCGATAAACTCCTAACTCGGTATGACATCGTTTTTAAACAGAGAATGATAAAGTTACATGAAGAGAGCCAAAGACACAATGTATAGGTCAGCATACGTACGTGTAAGGACTGCTGCCTAAGCATTATCAACTGAACAGATCTGTGTGCACATGCAAATTATTTGTTTGTGAGTACATAACACTGAACTATCTCAAAAGCTGCAGCAGCTTCACTCATCCCTCTCATGCACTTTGTAAGCAATTCCCAAACACACTGTGCTTCCCCCATACACACAGAACAGATGTTTATCTTTTTGGCCTGGAGTATTTATAAAAGATTATGAAAAAAGCCAAGGAAACATTAGAGCAATGGCAGTGAGAGCACAAATGCACAGCAATCTATTAGCACCTTAACACAGAACAAACGTTTATGGCAGCTGCCTTGCAAACTCCCTTCCTGCTGCTCTGCATAAGCGCTGTTCTTTATGCAAAAATATGCAGAGACCCAGAGATTCTCCTCTTCAGATAAGTAGGAATGCACACCACAAAATGCAGCACTTCATTCCCAAATTGTCCAAGCAAGCCAATTACCAGCAGTTTCTCCTGCTCAGGTTATCAGGCAGCAGGATATTTCAAGATGGTGAGAACACAGATTTTATTCCCCACTTTGCAACCAGAGAGGAATACTCCCTCCTTGCAAACTAGGAGGTTTAAAAATATTACAAGCAGGTAGTGCAGCTTCCAAGTTGCCTGAAACACAGTACATCAGTGATGCTGGTCTAGATACTGGATTTAAAACCCATGGTAGCACTGCAGCATTCAATAAAAGCAATTCAGCAAAAGCAGTTCCAGCTTAGCTTTTGTTCTCAGCTGGGCTTGCAGTTTGCAAGCTGACCTGGTTACAGATAAGCTAGAATCTGCTTATCCTCTCTTCTTTCACATCTGAATTAAGCAAAGCTACAATTTTTTGAATAGACAACTCTTGGTTAAAAACACATCTCTGATGTTATTGGGATGGTTTCAGAGTGCAACAAGCTCCACGCTCGTTTCTGAGGCTAGGCCCACACAGGAACACAGCTCTCAAAGCGGCACCACAAAAGGCAATAAAAAAAGAAAGATGCTGGCCCGCAACCAGGGCACCGTGCAAAGCAAACACACAGTGGACATTTCTCAGTGACTCTGGAAGGGTAACAGAGCCAAAGGAGCCCAGTCACATTCTCGTTTCTACACAGTGCAGCGAAGAAGCAGCCACATAGCTCTAATCATGCTTAACAAACAGTTACAATGCCTTACCCAGAAATGGGCTTTTTTTTATGCACAGCTTTACATCAAACTACATACATGCAAACAAAATGCAGGTATCACCCCCAGCTCAGAGCATCTCGGTGGTAACACAGTGTCAAGAGCTCTGTTTTGGAAAGGTTGGGAGCCTGGCCATTTTCTATCAAGACCAGCAGTACTAGCTAGCTTGAGGACGACAGCAGGGAAAAGTCTGCTGAGACAAACTAGTGAACACCACCTGGTCAGATGTGAACTGTCATTGCTCTGTGCATGAGTCAATAGATGCCTTAAACCCTAGAACTGAGTGGATTCTTCAGGACAGAAGATCTGGCACTTTAACAGAACTGAGCACACAAAACTTGCATTATTCTATAGCATATTCATAAGTGTCAATATTTTCCTAAAGTTTAATGTTATTTCTAGTAAAAAGTATTCTTAGCTGTTACGGCACCATGAAACAATCTGCAGCGAACATTAACAGCTTAATAAAAACGTAACTTTGATGCAAAGAACTAAAAGCAGTACAAGACTCAGTACAACAAGTACTACAGCTGACCTTCCATGCCAATACTCTGTTTCAACTTAGCAGCAGGTAGACTACACACATCTTAATATAACACAGGCTTTAATATTGAAGTGGAATGGGAAGCTTCAAATGACAAGATGTTTCCTTACAGCACAGGAACTTTGATATTGATAGAGGAAAGTGATTGCAGCATTTCCTATAACAAAGTCAAACCAAGAACCTCATACCTGAGAGGCAGAGCCATCCGGACCCCCTATAGAATCACTATCGGGAGAGCTACTGAGGCCATGAATACTCAGTGCAATATTCCCTCCTGGAAATTCATCTCCTCGTACTGAATGGATGAGATCATTCAAGTATTTGTAGTAAAGGTTGCTGGACAAGAACCCAGGTAAAAAAACCTGAGAGACAGAAGGAAGAGTCCTCTTTAATCAAGGCTGGTCTGCACAATTACTGTAGATCGTTTGGAGAACAGAAGGGACACACAAACACCTCGGTCCTTGGGTAGATGGTACACAAGCAGAAGTGTCCACAACATGGAATTATTCCGGATTAGCAATTGCATTGCTTTAAGTTTGAATCCTACTGCAAAATGAACTGCGTATTAACCAAATCCTCCAGTAACCGGAACTGAAGTTCAGATTT